AAAGACTCATGGACAGAGAATACAGACTTGTGGTTACCAGGGGGGTAGAGGGTGGGAAGGGATAGACTGGGATTTCAAAACTGTAGAATAGATAAACAAGATTACACTGTATAGCACAGGGAAATATACATAAAATGTTATGATAAATCACAGAGAAAAAATTGTGACAATGAGTGTGTATATGTCCATGAATGACTGAAAAATTGTGCTGAACACTGGAATTTTATACAACATTGTAAAATGATTATAAATCAATAAAAAATAGTTAAAAAAAAAAAAAGATACTGGACTTACCTTCTTTGGCACAGAGGATTCTTTGAGTTAGTTTACCAAAAAACTGTGTTCATGTTCAAGGCTCCTCGGCATAGCTTTTATCTTTAGAAGAAATTAAGAAATATTTCATAGAGTTGATTTAATCATTTTTACCCCAGTTTTTATTTTTATTGAAGTACACAATTCAGTAATAGCAATCTGCTTTAGTTAAGAAAATTGGGATTTAGGCAATGAATGACAACCATTTAAAGAGAGAAGGATCTTGACACTGGTTTCCTCCTGGCTTCTCCGTGTTTTCAGACGCAGTACAGTTTGGGAAGGCCTGTAAAACACAAGCCACTTGATAGCCCAATGCCATGCCTTTGTTGGAACCAGTGAGTTGAATTATTAGAAAACAGATTTCTTCTGTTCTATTTCATGTTTCTCTGAAATGGTGCCCCGTCTGTGGTGGTAAATTGTTTTTAAATGATTGGTTCTCTGTGACCAAGAGTGCAGGAAAGAATCCTCCCCTTGAAGATTGCTATTATTTTCCACTCCATCGATCTCACTGTGGAAAATGGTGGCAGTGGTGGAAGTTACAGCCGGCTGGGAACACTGGTGACACCCGGCCATCTGTGCTTGGATCGGTTTCAGAGCTCTTTTAAAGCAAGCCTGGATGAACAGAGGAGGTTTGTTTAAAATGCTCTGTGGCACTGCAAGGCCAATAACTTGTTGGGCAGTGCCAAAGATGGGAACAGGGTTATAGGCCCCTAGACAGCTCATCAGAGAACTTGTGTTAGTGAATCGGAAACCACACACCTGAAAAAAACAGAGCAGTAAATGCTATTGTAAAAGTGATTTAAAGAAACTCTTTCCTCCCCAAAGAGAAGACTTTTAATGGCTTCTGATGTTTATTCACATATGCTGTTATGTAACAGAAATAAAGGGGAAAAAAAGAAGAAAATAATGCTCAGAAGCCAGGTCTTTGGGGCCAGAATACTTTATAAATCTTTCAAAATAGGTGAAAGACTGTAAGTAAATATACCCTGTTGTGGGGTGTCAACAACACACAACAAATTTGCCAGACTGTAATTAATGCAGAAATGACAATTTTTAATGAAGTAACTACCCACAAATAAGGGAAAGGGGCTGATGGGTTGCAAAATTAAATTAGAAAGTATAACAGAAGATGAAAGCAAATGAGATTTCATTTTGTATTTTAAATAACAATGTTTTGCATTTAAATGAAACTCTACCTTAAAATACAGCATATGTTAGGAGAAGAAAAGCAAGTTTTCTCCTGTCTTCTAGAAGGGGGCAGATGTGCTCAGATGGAGAACTATTTATTCTACTGCTCAAGACGTTCACTAAGTATTATAATGTATATTTCATTTTCTCACAGTCAAATGTCATATATGGATTCAATTAAATTATAAATTTTAACATTATGTAAGAATTGTGTAAGAAACTGTAGGGTTTCGATTGAATGGCTGCCCTAAAATTTTAGAAATTTCAAGTAAACTAAAGATTTTGTACAACAAGTGAATGGAAGAGAAAATGATATTTCTTACCCAGGAAGTCTGGACAATCGATAATAAATTGATTTCAGTTACAAAATCATCAGATGCCACTGAAGCTGTCCTAAAGTAGAACTCCGCACCATCATCCTTAAAATGATGGAAAATACATTAAACATTTTTGGCCATAGTCTTCAGCCTCATAGAAAACATCAGTTTTGCTTTGTTTTGTTTTGTTTTTAAATGTAGATACTGAGGATTGAACCCAGGATCTCATGCATGCGCTCTACCAGTGAGCTACACCCTCCCCCCGATAACATCAGTTTTATTAGGGTCACTTCTCCCTGTTACCACAAGCTCAGACTACCACCATCTACTCTACACACACACACACACAATCTGTACGCCCCTTTGTTGAGGTTCTAGAGACTGGACCACCATTCAACCTGTCCTCAGTGCCATCTTCACCACTCCACATTTTATCTAAAACAAGGGGTAAATCCTGCATACTTAACAAAGGTTGGAATAAGCATTTCAAAATTATAGTACATGAACTTACAGTCTAGCAATTCTGAATGCTGGGTCCAAATCTTGAACTCATGACTTACCACTTCTGCTGCCTTGTGATCATCACTTGTTCCTCTGAGGCTCGGTTTCCTTCTCTGCAAAGCAGAAAGAATTACATTAACTTTGCATAGTTGCGAGATTAAAGATAATCTAAGTGAAGACCCCAGCACCAGTTACAACCCAGCTGCCCAGTCAGTTACACCTGTTAAGCTCTTGATGCTTTGGGAACTGGATTCTCTCATTTTTGCTGTTTGCACAGTCTTCTTCTACTATTAAAAAAAAAAGTTATAAATTTTTAAAAGGCCACTCTAGACTGGTCTGACTTCTCTTTTCCAGGATTATTTTGCTGCTTGGTTTCATTTGGATTAGGAGGTATATTTGTTTGCTAGCGTGGCTTAAACAGAACTTCCTGTTTCTCCAGAACTCACAATTCTGGAGGCTAGAAGTTCAAGATCAAGGTGTCGGTGGGGTTGGTTCCTTCTAAGGGCTGGGAGGAAGAATCTGTTTCTTGCCTCTCCCTAGCTTCCAGTGTTTTTTGCTAGCAATCTTTGGCATTCCTTGGACTGCAGAATCACCACCCCAATCTCTGCAATTATCTTCACATGGTGTTCTTCCTATGTGCATGTCTGTGTCCAATTTCCCCGTTTTCATAAGGATACTAGTATTATTGGGTTAAAGCCCACTCTACTGCAGTATGATCTCATCTAACTAATTACATCTGCAAGGACATGTTTTCCAAGTAAGGTCACGTTCTTGGAGGTGGGGGATGGTTAGGACTTCAACATATGAATTGGGGCAAAAGGGGTGATCAATTCAACCCATAATAGGCTATAAGACTCTCACCATTTCCATAAGCCTTCTGGACTTCAAACTCCAAAGGAAACAAGAAGGACCTAATTATAACTGATTGTCAGCCTTTCTATATTACAAGCCATCTGCCCTGGAGCATGAAATGTGTAACTTTATGTGTATGAGAGAAAGGCTATTCTCTTCCCACGGAACAGTGAATCTTTACAGGATTTTATCTAAATTATTTTTTAAAGTAGAAACCCCACCACCAATGTCTTAAATGTATTGTTTACTTTCATCTATTACATTATTTCATCTATTAATCATTCAGCTTAAAGTCATTTAATTGATCAGACGAGATTTCAGAAACCCTGCGACAGGAAATTTTTAAAATGGCACCACTTGACCAAAAGCCTAAGGGTGGGTTTCAACTAACTACATAAACATTTCTATGTTGCTCAAAGCAACAGAGCCAAACTCTGAGGCCTGGGAGCATTTTTGCTGTGACAAAATTTTCTTTGGACAGATTTTTTTATTGTGGTTTTCTGTTTCTGTAATTTGATAAAGTGATCTGTAGGTGGAATTTTTTTCAATGGTGGAGACCAAGATGCACAAAACTTCACCATAAAAATAAAATCTCCCTCTGTACCTCCAGCCACTCACTTCCCCTCCCTGGAGGCTGCCAGGGTTGTTAGTCTCCACAATCAAAAACAAAGACATATGTAAACTCACACCAAAAATAGCAGGACTGTCCAGCTCCTGGCCTCTTCTTTTCTCTTTACCTTGTGTCTTGAAGATCCTGCCCTATTAGTAGCTGTTTCATTCATTGTAACTGCTGCACTCACTGTGTTCCAGAGTCAAAATTCCTCTTTAGTAGGAATATTATCTCTACAAGCAAAGCACAGTTCTCACAATACTATTATGTGCCCCCTGCCCACCCCCACCTCTGCTGAGGATCAAGAAGGCAGGTTTGTGCCTAAAACACAATATCGAATGGAAAGATGGACTTAATCAAGTCTTTCAATGGTGCCATTGTACTGCAGAAATTCTGTTTGGTGACTAGCGTTTAAAAAAATAAAAATCAGGTTCAGGAATTGTTCCTTCCCTTCCCAGCTTGCCTCACTAGTTCCCTTACTAATAAAATTAACTAGTGAGAGAATCACTAATTCTATAGCTAGATTGCTAATAGCCATAGTGACACCCTCCTAGGGCTGGAAGGTGATTAATTTGAAACTTCCCTACTGTAGAGCATTTAGGTGGTTTGCAGCTGTGAAATGTTACAACAATGATGGAATGAACATACCCGAGAACTTTTTATTGGCACAGATTGCCAATTCCCGCCCCCAAGGTAACCCCAGAAATAATTCAAACGTGTTAACATTTGGGAGTGTGGGCTTTGAGAATCTAATGGAACTTTCACCTCTCCTCAGAAAAAAAGACAAATAGACACAAAGATCTTTATACAATTTTAGGGAACCTCTCCTCAAAAAAGGGATTCCAGATTAAGAACCAGTAACAATCATGCTCTTACCAACAATGTAAATACCTCTTTGCTCACACCTTCACTTTCCTTTTCAAACTTTTTACTGACTTGATGATAAAAAGGTATACCTCTCTCAATCTATGTTTTTTTGATTGCTTAATATGAACAATTTTTTTTAAAAGTCAATTGGTCATGTATGTTTTTTGCACACTGCTTATTCGAGTCTATAATATAATTAAGATTTTAAATATTAAATTAAAATTTTAACTCAACACTATAAAAGCAAGTGATAAATTGGAAGTATTCAATCCCTAGACATTCCCCGGACTAGAATAATAGTCTTTTATGAGCATCAGATTCCACCATTGCATGTCTCATATTTTCCACTAGAGGGCAACATTAGCTCATCTAATATTCTCTGGCTTCTGCAGCACAGAGACTGCTCAATTTGTGTTCCCTAGGAAGTATTTTTCTGAAAAATACTTGCAAGGAGTAAAGAGTTATAAATACTTCAGTATGTAAAAAACACATTATTATATTAAAATAACTATTTAAAATTGTTCTATGTAATTTGTTTCAACACAAGAAAACGTACAAATGGAATTTCCGTCATCATTACCATAATCAGTGCTTCACACAAAATCTATCCCTTTATTAGCGTTCATTATTACATAGATTTACTGAAACTAGCATTACTATAGATTTGTGTTTACAGTATGGTTCATAATTGAAACTTCATAAACCGCTTGTATAAATTTAGGAAAAGCAATTGACTCCTGCAAAGCTTCTTGAAAGGCAACTAGATTAATTCATGATTCCAAATATTTTATCTTATTGGCTGATTGTGTACTAAATGATAAAGCATGATTTTTTTCATTCAATAAATATTTGTTGATCACCTGTATTTGCAGAGCATTCTTCTGGGGCCTACAAATACAGTAATGAAGAAAATACAGATCCCTGACCTCAAGGGGATTACACGCTGGAGAGGCGGGGCAAGGAGCATATACCAACACATCTCATGTTATCCATGCACACGAGAAGGTTACAGGTGCTGAGAGGAAGATAAGGCTGGAAGGGAGACAGAACACACTGGGGCCACAGAGATACTATTTTAAATAGTGGCCATTGGAGACCACACACGCTTTAATGTCTGAGCAGAGAGCTTAAGGAGCTCAGAAGCCTGATCAGAGAGGATCACAGAGATAAAACGTGATACAGGAGCCAGCAAGTGTAAACAGTTAATTCAAGGAATTTTGATAGAAAGGGGGACCCAGAAAGGAAGCAATAGCTAGAGAATGACATGAGGTCAAGAGAGGGTTTTCAAAAGATAGGAGAAATGATAGATGGAAACCATAAACTAAAGAAAAAGACAATCCACAGAATGGGAGAAAATGTTTGCAAATGACACAACCGACAAGGGACTGATTACTAAAATATACAAACAGCTCATACAGCTTAATATCAAAAAACCCCAAACAACCCAATTAAAAAATGGGCAGAAGACTTAAATAGATATTTCTTCAAAGAAGACATATGGATGGCCAACAGGCACATGAAAAGATGCTCAATATTGCTAATTATTAGAGAATTGTGAATCAAAACTACAATGAGGTGGGAAGGGATAAATTGTGAGTTCGAGATTTGCAGATACTAACTAATATATACAAAATAGATAAACAAGTTCATACTGTATAGCACAAGGAACTATATTCAATATCTTGTAGTAACTCACAGTGAAAAAGAATGTAAAAAAGAATATATGTATGTTCATTTATGACTGAAGCATTACTGTACACCAGAAATTGACACAACATTGTAAACTGATGATACTTCAATAAATATCTACATACAAAAAATAAATAAAAATTTAAAAACTACAATGAGATATCACCTCACACCAGTCAGAATGGCCATCATTAAAAAGTCTATAAATAATAGATGCTGGAGAGGGTATGGAAAAAAGGGAAATCTCCTACACTATTAGTGGGAATGAAATTTGGTGCAGCCACTATGGACAACAGTATGAAGTTTCCTTAAAAAACTAAAAATAGAGTTACCTTATCCAGCAATTCCACTCCTGGGCATACATCTGGAGAAAACTGTAATTCAAAAAGACACATGCACCCCAATGTTCATAGCAGCACTATTTACAATAGCCAAGACATGGAAATAACCTAAATGTCCATCGACAGATGACTAGATAAAGATGTGTCATATATATACACTGGAATACTACTCAGCCATAAAAAAGAATGAAATAATGCCATTTGCAGCAACATGGATGGACCTAGAGATTATCACATTGAGTGAAATAAGTCAGAAAGAGAAAGACAACTATCATATGATATCACTTACATGTGGAATCTTTTAAAAAATGATACAAATTCTATATACAAACCAAAAAATAAGCTCATGGACGTAGAAAACAAACTATGATTACCAAAGGGGAAAGGGTGGGGAGGAGTAAATCAGGGGTTGGGGATTAACAGACACACATAAAATACATAAAATACAGAAACAACAAGGGCCTATTGTATAGCACAGGGAACTATATTCAATTTCTTAGAGTAAAACCTAAACCTTTCTAAATGGTATTAGATTCCCGGCATACTTGCTGTCCTCTCTGATCAGGCAGTTTTGTCCGAGATCTCTATGTGACTCACATTTGTACATCATTGTGTCCTTTAATCACACATCACCATCTCAGAGATGTCTTTCCTGAACACAGACTTAACCATGCAGTCTCCACTGTGTCCATCATCCCTTCATTTCCTTTGCTTTGCTGGGATGCCCTCGCCATTTCTGAAAGTCTGTGAGGTA